CGTCTATACAAAAAAAAGAAAAACTAATAATAATACAAAAATTAGCTTGGCATGGGGGTGTGTGCCTGTAGTCCCAGCTACTCAGGAGGCTGAGATGGGAAGATGGCCTGAGCCCAGGAGGTCGAGGCCGCAGCAAGCTGGGATCACACCACTGTACTCCAGCCAGGGTGACAGAGCAAGACCCCGTCTCAAACCAAAAAGCAAAAATATGATTGCTATTGAAATTTATGACACAGTTATTCTAGCAATTAACAAAGCATGTCCCTGATTCAATGTTCGTATAATCCAACCTTCAATTGCCACCTTTTCACCAAACAGAACATCGCAAACAAGAGAAATGAATGAAAACAGTCCAGATGGTGCCAAGGTGATCATGACTTTCAGCTGATAAGCCCTGGCTTCTCCAAGGGATCATGGAAAGGCCACTCCGCTGTTTGTCTGTTGTACCCAGCTTGGCCCTTCTCTTGTGACGCTGAGGGACGTGGAATCCACATGGTCCCTTGCAAATCAGAAGAAGTAATACCTGCTGAGCTGAAGTAGAGGGATTTGGGAAGTCAAACTCATACTGTGGAGGCTAAAGCAACCCCATCTTGGATGCTAATCTGGATGTTGACTTCTGACCCCAGTCCCAGGAATGCTTCTAAGGTTTCTACATTCACATACTTACTGTAAATCTTGCCCTTAGGTCAAAATAGTCTTGCAATTATACCATAAGTCCTGCCCTTCAGCAAATTCTTGCATTTTCCTGAGGGTTGGATGTCAATGTCCTATACATTCCTTCAGTATGGTATATAAGACCTGGATGTATAAGCCCTCATTCTGGGGAGTAATAGCATGGGCAACCATTATGCTGTCTTGCCGTCACCCAGGACATGGCCTCTGTTTGTAAGTCCCCATCACGGGTTTCTTCCTGAGAAACTAGATTTGTCAGCCTCTTCCTTGGCCTATGGGGGTGGGCTTGCATATGCCTGCCCACCACAGAGCACATACCTTTAATAGATATATGCCAGGAGATAACTACATGTGTAGATGCATAGATTTTTATAAAACTGCCTTTTTCTTATATTTTTCAGTGTCAATAAATGTAAGTACTGAGTACTTTAAGCTAGTGCTTCTCAAACTTTAATGTGCACAGAAATGTCCCGGGATCTCATTAAAATGCTGAGTCAGCAAGACTGGGGCGGGGCCTGAGACTCTGCATTTCTAACGGGCTTCCAGGTTACACTGATGCTGTCTGTCAGAGACCCTGCTGTGTAGCGAGACCTTAAGTACTGGAGAGTATTCATGTAGTTTGTGCTGTAATTTACCAACAAATTTCCTGCTGTTGGACATTTTAGATGTTTCATTTTTTTTTTTTTTTTTGTAGAGGCAGGGTCTCACTAGGTTGCCCAGACTGGTCTCAAACTCCTGGCCTCAAGTGATCCTCCCATCCCAGTCTGCCAAAGTGCCAGGATTACAGGTGTGAACTACCACACCCGGACATTTGGATGTTTCAATAGAGCTTATGCTTTATTCTTGCCATTATAATTTCTGTTAACCTTCAGTTTTAGTTTTACTCTTAACCAGTATTGAGAAAATGCTTTTCTTGGAAGTTTATCTTGTTTGATGTCAGGCTACAGACATGTAATGCACGTTTCATTTCATTTGAGATGTTTCTTACCGGGCTGCTGTGTGCCGATCTCTGTCTTAGGTGTTAGGGATACAAAGGTGAACAGAGTTCTGGCTCTGCAGCTCATTCCTCCAGGAGTCTGCAAAAGAAAATTCAGTTCATTTCGGTAAACAGAGATAGGGACGTGCCCAGGGATAGTTGTGGTGTTGAAAAATGACCTCAGAGATAAGGAAAGAGATGCTTGAGCTGGGTTTAAGGATGAAAAGTAGTTCACCAGGCAGATTGTTGGGTGGGATTCCAGATTGTGGGCACATCATGTGCAAAGGCACTGAAGCGACAATTTGGCACATCCAGGTTTCTAACAGTACTTCTTTGTGCAGTGTGATAGACAAGTTTGTCACATGGAGTCACAGAATCTGAAATAAGCTGGGAACCAGTAGGCAAAAATGTATTTTTGAAAGATGGCTTTGAGAGGACAAAATTGAGATCAGGGCATTCCAGGTGAGTGATTTCTATTAAAGACATGTAGTGAACAGGAGAAATTCAGGAGGTATTATCGGCAGGCCCTGGGGATTGACTAGGATTGCAAACGAAAGTCTGGTTGACCTGCAGGTTTTCATCTTGTGGCTGAACAGGTGGTTCAGATGCCAAAGAATGAAAGGAATAGAAGAAAATGCCAGGTTCTGTTTAGGAATGTTGCCTGAGGTGAGGATAGCAAGCAAGTCATTAGGTATATGGGTCTGGGCTTAGGTGAGAGGTCCGCGTTAGAGAGATGGATTTGGTCTTCAGGAAGCCATTGTCACCCCTAGTCTGAAACTTGTACTTGTCACAAAGTTGCTGGAAGTGCCACGGCATCTGCTGCCTAAAAACCCAAGAACCCAAATGCCCACGACTGCTGCAGGAGTCACATGTAGACACCTTCCCTTGCCTGCTACTACTGCTGTCCAGAGCTTCACCAAGTCAGGGGAAAAGAAAGATTATCTCCCAGTCTTTCACCAGCACATCCTAGGATCACAACTTTATGAGAAGCCAGCTGGTAAGAGAGAATTTGGAAAATATTTACAGGCTTATAGTCTGACGGGCAGAGTAGAACAAGAGCCAGAGCACTGTATGGCTCAGCAACAGAGCACCTGGAGGCGGAGGCCCCAGAGTCTTTCTCATACTCTTACCACAGTCATCTTTGTTCTCTGGAGGTCCACTTTGGTGTGAAGTGAGTATCACTCCAGTCATCTCAGAAGCTTCCATTTTAAATATGCATAGGCTACAGGTAGCCTGCTGGTTCCCACCACTTGGCTGACCATACATGAAGTAACCACAGAGTTGTGGTGTTTGAAAGCCTTCCAGGATCTCAGTTGTTCTAACTTCTCATTTAATAAATCAGCAGATTCTTCAGCAAAGGTTTATTATTAAGGCCCTCAACATTTACTGAAACTATTTTGATAGAATTATACATAATGATAAAAATTCTTGCTACACAGAATTAGAATTAAAGAGTTAAGTTATGTATGTAAACATACAGTAGCAGAAAAAAAAAAAAAAACTTGAATTTTTTTCAAAGAAGATGGCAAAACCCTAACGGGAAAAATAAAGTGATTAATGAATGAGATATAACTTCTTCCATCCAACTAAAAACTATAGTGAAGACATTATTTCTTAAATTAATATATGCATTTATTATAATAGTAACTAGTGCCTATATTAGTTAAGATATAACTTTGCCTTTAATTAACAATTCCTTAAACAAGACAAAAGCTTATTCCTCTATCATAGACCAGTCCAGAAGTAGAGTGGCAGGTTTCTGCCCTATGGGGTTGTCCCAGGGGCCCCAGCTCCTTCTCTTGTTGTTCCACCATCCTTGAGTAATGTCCTGTCTGTGTGGTCCAGAGTGGCAGATCATATGTCCATATTTCAGTCAGGAGGAAGAGGGGATAAAGGAGAAGCCAGAGTATGCCCAGGGATGCACCTTGAGAATTGCATAGGATGCTTCTGCTCATATCCCATTGGTGAAAACTTAGTCTCGAGTCCTAGCTCCAGGGAGGCTGGGAAATGTAGTCTTCATTCTGGGAGGTACTATGCCCCCACTAAAAATCCAGAGCTCTATTAAGTTGAGAGTTAGGGGAAAGTGAATATATGGGAGAGACAGACCAATTTCTACTACAGTACCCTTTGGAATATTATTTAGAACTTGAAAATTGTGAATAAAATTATTTCAAAAGAATAAATAGGCAGGCACAATTAACATATTTTTTAAGAAAAGTTTTTTTAAATTGCCATATTCTCATTTTTTCTTTTTTCTTGATGTAACACTTCTGCTTTTAATGTAACTTTCTTTTTAAACTTTTTTATTGTATGAATTTTAACCATACACAGAAATGGGAGAATCGTGTAGTGAGCCCTAGTCCCCATCTCCCAGCTTTAGTAAATTATCAACTTAAAGTTAGTCTTATCTATTCTCCCCGGCCCTCCACTTATCCCCTTCCTGAGTTTTTGAAGCAGATCTCATTTTCGCTCTTTGATCTGTAGATATTTCTGTATGTAGCTCTAAAAAGTAAAAGTCCTTTTTTAAAAAAATAAACTTTAAAGTTTAGGATAGTTGTATTCACATGCAATTGTAAAACATAATCTAGAGAGATTTTGTGTACCCTTTACTCATTTTCCCCCACTGGTAGCATCCTGCAAAACTATAGTATAATATCACAGCTGGAGTCTGACATGGATACAGTCAAGATGTAGAACATCTCCATCCCTTTGTGTTGCCCTTTTATAGCCACATCTACCTCCCCTGCCACAACCCCTGACACTCACTAGTCTGGTCTCCATTTCTATAATTTTGTCATTTTAAGAATGTTAAAAATCAGCTGGGTGCAGTAGCTCACGGCTCTAATCCCAGCACTTTGGGAGGCCAAGGCAGGTAGATCACGAGGTCAGGAGTTCGACACCAGCCTGACTAACATGGTGAAACCTGTCTCTACTGAAAATACAAAAATTAGCCGGGCATGGTGGCACACACCTGTAATCCCAGCTACCCATGAGGCTGAGGCAGGACAATCACTCGAACCTGGGAGGCAGAGGTTGCAGTGAGCCGAGATTGGTGCCACTGCACTCCAGCCTGGGCAACAGAGCAAGACTCCATCTCAATTAAAAAAAAAAAAAAAAAGAATGTTGTTAAAAATCATACAGTATGTAACATTTTGGTTTCAGCTCTGCATAGTTCCCTCTAGATTCATCCACTTTATTGCATGTAACAACAGTTCATTCTTCTTTATTGCCGGATAGTATTCCATGGTATGGATGCAACATATAAAGGCTCTTTGAAAACCATAATCCATCCTCCTAACTCTCCCCTCTCTTTCTCCCCACTGCCCTCTTCCCTCTTCTCCTCTCTTCACAGCAATGCCAAGTGAGTACACGTATGTGAAACTGAGAAGTGATTGCTCGAGGCCTTCCCTGCAATGGTACACCCGAGCTCCAAGCAAGATGAGAAGACCCAGCTTGTTATTAAAAGACATCCTCAAGTAAGTACCGCCCCTGGGACTGTAGATCCCCCTGCTTTGGGTCAACTGTGTAGAAGTAGGAGAAAAATTCAATGAGAGCCTCAAGATGGCTAATGTTGGAGAGGCACACTTGGTCAAAGGCTCATTCAAAGGCACGTCTGAGTGAAGACTGAGTGCACAGCTGGAGTGGGCCTGAACAGCTGACTGTATAATTGGTAAGTGCACAGTGCCCAGTAGCTGCTCAGGCCCTGTACCTTGGCCTGGATGCCTGGGAGAGCAACTCTCACCGTGCACTGCTCTTCATGCCCTTATTTAACAAAAGAGGGCTTTTCCCTTAGCTATTGTAAGTTAATCTAAAATATGGTTAATTAAATTTCCCTGAAGGCACTTGAATACTATTAAATATCGAATACTAAAAACGATAACAAGTGTTTGAGCCAGGTCACCCTTACATGCCAGTAAGTGGTAGAATTAATCAAGGAGGAACTTGGCAGGTTTTTTTTTTTAGCATGTATACCAGTCAAACCCAGTTGAAAATTGCCCTTTTTTCATGTCTAAACATAGAAATCCAACCTTGCAATCTAGTCTTCTGTCTCACTTTACTGACTTAGGAGGTGTAGGAAAAAAGGAAATTTATAAGAATAAAGCTTATGTGATATTCAGCCTCCCTTTAGTCACCAACCAGTATTTATTGAGGCCCACAACGTGCCTGACATGCTGGGCGCCAGCCACAAGGCAGCAGGGGAGATAGACCTGCGTCCTGTGCTGCTTAGGCTGTAGGTGAGGTGGACTCACACCGGGAATTAAGGCACAGTCTGATATATGCTACAGACACTGGGCTTGCCTTCACGCCCTTTTCTTTTCTTTTCTTTTCTTTTTTTTTTTAACTAAAATAAGGGAAGTATATTCACTGAATGTAACACCTTTTCTGGGGCTGAAGAGAAGAATAGGTAATATTAGGTTTACAAGATTAAAAATTCAAAAAGTATTAAAGAGTCTCAGTGAAACAGCTTCTCATCCCTGCTCCCCATTTCCCCTCCATACTTAAAGATAACCAGTGTCACCAGTTTCTTGTGTATATGAGAAATATTTTGTGTGTGTGTGTGTGCTCTGCCATGCCCCCGCCCAAATCCACTTTTATACAAATTGATAGCATCCTGTTCACTTATCATTGTATACAATCCCATTGTACACAAGGGAAGAATTAAGATGCTTGTCCAAGTTATCATGGGAAGCCTGTTTAAATGAGAATTTTAAAGTTTTAAAAATGCTCCCACCAACACTTCATTGTATTCTCATCCTCAAATATTAAGAA